TTTACCCTTCTATCTGGCAACAAAACTGACACCTTTTTGTTGCCAGATAGAAGGGTAAAAACCAATTATCATATTTTTTACTGGCAAATGAGGTTCCAATGGAATGGCAACTACAGTTGCAATATCGATAGAATGCATAGAAACGACGATAAAAGCCAGTGGCAATAATTACACTCACAGTGCCGGTAAACATCCACTCGGACCACAGGAAAACAACATCGCGTGTCTAGAAGTAAGCGTATGTGTGCGATGTTTAAGCAAATCATTTGCCGTGTGTGTGAAAAGGCCAAACTTTATTTGTGTATCATGAGACCTCCTTGGCCAGTACCAAAATATGAGAATCCGTTTTCCCCTTTTTTCTGGCAACAAAACACGTGTTAAGATGTTGAAACACCAAACTGAAACCTTTTACAATGAATCATGTCTGCATTAACCACAATACTTGTGGTCAGAATGCAAACAAAAAACATTCTTTGAAAGTATAATCAGTGTTTGAAACTGATTGGCCCACACCAGAGACAGCTTTCTTTTGAGCCTCGTCTCAAATTGTGTTAGATTATCAGAGTATGTTTTTTGTTTGCATTCTGACCACAAGCATTGTGGTTAATGCAGACACGATTCCTTGTAAAAGGTTTCAGTTTGGTGTTTTAACATCTTAACACAACTGTTTTTGTTGCCAGAAAAAAGGGGTTAAACCTATTCTCACTTTTACTTGTGTACTTCTGTAGAAAATTACATTTACGTTACGCGCAAACGATGCGCTGGGTGCGGGCGACTAATTGCAAAGGGCAGACCTGTGACGCCCGGATATACAACATGAACCCACAGCCCTTGGTCACGCTCCACTGCCGGATGAAGGGGGTCTCTCAATGTCATGTCGGGCATTGTGGTTGTGCGACCATACTTCACACCACGGTGATCAGTGCGCGTCTGTGCATGAGCTGCCCAGGACCAATTCGGGAATCGCTTGCCGGCTAACGTTGGTCATGGCCGGGAATCGGAAGTCGGATCAACAACGGGTTCAGAGCTCAGAGTGCTGCTAACCACTGTGTCCTGCAGTGTTCGTTGCAAGGCCCGGTGGGCCATTAGCGGTCGCTGGTGGCCTTTAGTGCGGACCTGACGTGTGGCCCACGACAATTCACGCGGTGTGATACCCCCCCCCCAACCCCATCATCATCATCATCGTGCTGCTGTCAAACCCCCGATGGTTTCAAATGTGTGGTGTGGCCCTTATCGGGGCAAGTGCGCGCCCCCCACCCACCTCTGAAAATGAGTGAAGAACCCTGGTGTACAGTGGTTGGTCTTAATAGCAAGCGAGGATTAACCTCGTGTTCACTTGGAGGCATCCAATTCAGTAAACCCTCGCCCCCCACCATGATTAGCTCAAGGCGTGACATTAAACACTGCGGACAAGAGTTTTACAAGGCAGGAAATGCTGCCTTCAAAGGCCGTCAGGAGCCAATGTAGACTGGGATGAGCAACGCGTGGCTGATGGAACGTTCGTTATTGGTCCGATCTCGTCTCGCGTCGTCGGCACGATGTCCGACGTTTCGCCCCGAATGCCGGAGAGCGAAACGTCGGAACGGCGCGCGCGTGTGTGAACCCGGGGTGCGCCCAGGGCCAGCTGTTGACATTCCTGTCGGCGCGCGGGACCCAATGTGGCTTTTATTTAGATGTTTTAATTGCACGAGGCAGGGGGCCCGAATTATCGGCGAGTGTAGAGGGAGTAGCTGGGAGGAAGTGCGGAAGGAAGGGATGGGTCATTTCAAAAGAGGAATGTCATGGTCAGGCAGCGTTGATTTGGCACAGATGTGTAGAAGGTGGGGGGGGGGGGGGGGTGCTCTGATGACATGTCTTGAAATCGTAGCCGGGGTTTGATATGTGTGTTGCATGTTTCGGACGATAACCAAGGCGCCTAGTGCTGCCATTTAACCCTCTTGTGTACGTGTTGCGGGTACATTTCATGAACGGCAAAAGCAACAGTTCGTTTTGTTTTTTGGGGTAGGGGGGGTGAGTTTAATGCGATTTTAAGAGTCAAATAAATGTCCCAGATGTGTTGCAATGATGTCACGTCACTTTACAGCAGTCCGCCACAGTCTACGTGATCCGTGAGACGATGAGTTCTCAGCATGCTTTCTCAGATTTGCGTGAATTTTTTGTCCGTTTGAGTTCCAGGAAATATCGTCAAGTGTGTCTTTGGATTAGCTTCAGCTTGAGCGCCGTAATTACGTTTGTTCATCCACGTAAACGTGCCTTAAAGAGCTGATCTTTTAAAACATCTGCATCTGATAACATGTTAAGCCGAGCTGAGCTGCAGAGAACTCGCAAGCTGTCAAGCGGCTTCACAATGACGGTCGTGAAGCCGTCGGCTTCGACAGGCTGGCTTTCTGTTTTCAAGTGGCTAACATAGAACGTAAATTAAAAAAAAAAAATTGATGCTGCACATTATGGCCACGAAGGACAATGCGCCTCAACTGATATCAAGTTCATCAGCTTACGGTATTGTGAATCCGAACGCGCACGTGTGCATCAATGGGGTTTTGGATTTGTACGTGGAAATCGGTTCAAATCGCCTCCATGCAGCCACTCGAGGTGCTAACATTCATTCACCGCAGCGTGAAACAATAACCAGAATCGATTAATTATATTATTAAGGAATATTTTTTTTATAAATGAATCACTCAGGGAAATTAACAATTCCACCCTTTACTCTGCGTTCATTTTGGCTGCTCTACGTTTGTAAAGTATTTGTCTGCTGTCATTTTCCACGCGATAATAAGCCACTGTGTCGAGTTATCATTTGTGGCCAGGTCGCTTCTGAAAAAAAGATCCACACATATTCTTAGGTTTTTTCGGTAAAGTCACGTAGGTAAAAAATAAAAATTAAGATCCACACAGCTCCGTGGACCTTGCGTAGTGAGATATAAAATAGTTTAGAGTTCAGTTTCGTCTCGAACATCGGCCATCATCGCTTCGCGCGAAGTGCCCTTGCCCAACCAACCTCACTGACTTTTCTTACTAATCGACGTGACGTCTCTAACCTGCGGAAGTCATCTCAAGTTCAAGTTCATTTATTAGGTATAGCCCTGTGAGCCATTCGGCTCTTGAATCGGGTGCAACCGCAACAAACAAAAAACTAAAACATGAACAAAAAAACATCTTAAAGTGAATACGTGACTGAGTGCAAACTGAAAATCCAAGAAAAGACAGCAAAATTTTGCAGAAAAAAACATCGTACACCAACGCTGTGTGCAAAAATCCCAGTGGGATGCAAGTCAAACAAAAACAACAACCACAAGACAACTTAGATTAAGGCCATCAGTCTAGCTCAGTACTATGTGTTCCTCTTTTTAAATCCTTTATATTAAGTTCGCTTGCTTGCTTGCGTGCTTGCATGCTTGCGTGCTTGCTTGCTTATGACCGTGCAAATCTTTCGGTCGTTTTTTAACCCACTTCCCGTAATCCAATCGAGCTGACATTTTCCACACAGACTCGTTGTGCGTGACAATTAATTTTCGTGAAAATTTTTTTCCAAAATGTTACACTGTTTAGGGAATTTTTTAAAAATATTTAATTACCAATTGCTTAATGCTGCCAGACAATCATCTGACCCATAGGTGGCAGCCATCTCAAGCCAGAGGACGAGAGGAATCTAGCCGCCACGCATATAAAGGATTTATAGTGAAAAACTTTGTTTTTACGGGTTAATTTTTTCCGTCTCAGTATGAAACCCGAGCTGTCGTATATAGCCCAGTGAGGGCCTTACGTGGTAAAAAAAAACTAACAAAAAGCAAGCCGAATAAAAGTTTCGTTTACGTGAGCTACGATGAAACGGACCCAAGAGGTTAACCTCAAGGAGAGATGGAGCGATGAAATCGACTCGCGTGCAGGTGCTAGGCGCGTCTTTGCTTCGCTAGTAGGGAGTGGTGGTGCAGCGGTTAGCGCGCTGGCGCTACAAACCCGGCGACCCGCGTTCGATTCCCGCTCAAGGCCAACACCAGTGACGATTATCTGAACCGGTGATGGGCTTCGCCAAGGTCGACCTGAAAACGAGTACCTGGTGAACATTCGCATTGGGGAGACAAAGGCGGCTGGGCGTGTTGTGTGCCGTGGGCCTCAGTCGGTGCTTCTCGTCAAGAGCACTTGCCCCAACAGTCTGCGGAAGGCTATACGGGGGATCTTTGTTGTATCGTGGGATCGTGACGTCGTCGTGACATCGTGAGAGATGAAAGCGGCTTGGGGAGGGAGTCCTTAGTCCAGCATGGCTCACAATGATGATGAGTGTTATAAATGATTAACTACAATAAATTATTAATCATTACAAATTAGTATTATATGTAACAATGAATGATTAAATTTCGATTTAAAGCTTTCGTGACTGCAGGGATTCATCTTCTTGGTTCTTTCCGTAAAGTCAAGTAGAATGGAAATAATAAAATAATACAAATAAAACATAATAAAATAATTCTCACGACGTTTCGGCCACAACGCAAGCAGCCGTCCTCAGGTGAAGAACAGGTCTGCTTGCGTTGTGGCCGAAACGTCGTGAGAATAATTTTATGATGTTTTATTTTTATTATTTTATTATTTCCATTCTACGTGACTTTACCGAAAGAACCAAGAAAATGAATTATTAATGAATGATTATGATGAAAGTAACTCGTGGGAGCAATCAGGAGCTTCCTAGCCTGCCTCATAAGCAACGTGGAACTTGTAACCGGAGCTGATATATATAAAAATATATAAATTGCTCTTCAAACATAAACTTAGCGTTCAATATTTGCCATGTTTGAAGAAGATAGGCCGCGTGTGTGTGTGTTTTAAACGATTGCATTTGATATGCCGGCCGTGTAAAAAAACAAAAAAAGTTTATCCAACTTTTAAAACAGATTAAAAAGTCTCCGGGTGTTTATTGTAAACCGAAGCTTACGACTTGATTACATTATGTGATGTGCGATAAGTTAGTCGAATTTGCTAAGGAGCTTCTCTTTCCCCATCAGGATGAGTCGAGACAAGATCGGTGAATCTCTCCGCGCCGAAGACGAGATGGAGGTCGCGTCGCAGTCGAGGTGCGGAAACGGCTATCGTTGAGGGCAACACAAAGATCCCCCGTGTAGCCTTAGCAGACTGTCGGGGCAAGTGCTGTTAGCGAGTTGCATCTGTGAAGGCCGGCACCACGCCCGGCCGCCTTTGTCCCCCCAGTGGTGATGTTTACACACCGCACCAGGTACTTATTTGAGGCTGAGTCGACCTACGGGAAGCCCAGGACCGGTTCACATAGAGTAATCGTCACTGGTGTTGGCCGTGAGCGGCGTCATTATTAGTGGGTAGAACGGTGGGGCGGTGGTTGGTTGACCGCTCGACAATCCCGGCACTCCGAGTTGGATACTCGGTTACGACTTCGTGAGTGATATCTGTCCTGGCACACTAACTCCCCCCCCCCCCTTCCACGCTTCACCAACGCCCGCACTGACCAGTGTGGTGAAGTATGGTCAAACAACCCCTGTGACCTCCGCAGCGTGGGGAGGCCTTCATCCCAGCAGCGGAGTGACATGGGCTGTCATTATCACTATTGTCATTTCATTGTGCTCGGCACAAGCAAACGAAGCGAAAGCTTAGATCTCCAAAGAGGCTCGGGGAGCCCTGGGTTAATGAAAGTAAGTAAATAAATGTAAGGCAGCACCAATATATCAGCTCAAACTCATATACTTATGACATTAAAACGCTCATTGTACTTATAACAGTATTAGCATTTTAATTGTACTTAATCTAATGGCTTAATTTGTTTAGCACGACTGTGATATCATTAATTCATTAATGTGCCTTGCCCATCATAGAATGTTTGTAGTCATGTGACGCAACCAATTATAATTTTTGTTTAGGACCCCCCCACCCCGCACCCCCGCTAAATGGATTGGCACCGGCACTGATGATCATTAAGCCTCCACGTACTGTGGCTGCATCGTAGCGCGAGTCGTAAAAAAATTCTCTACGGCGCGCGTGTGGTACGTGCATGTGTTCGTAACAGAGCGAAGAGGCTGGCGGTGTCTTGGCCGCAGTCGATGGAAGATGAGCAATCGTTGGTAAGCTGCTCTCATTGTGCGGGGGTTTTCACTTTTTGCGTTTGGTAACAGCATTCGGCCTCGCGGATCCTGCCCCGGTGTAACGGCTTTCGCACTTTGATCCTGCCGTCCAGAGGTCACCGCTTCAATTTGACCTCCCGGCGCAACGGTTGAAAACGGTGATGGAAGTTTCTTCATTCTAGATTTGAAGCTTTCGTGACTGCAAGGATTCATACTCTTAGTTCTTTCGGTAAAGTCACGTAGGTAAAAAATGAAATTAAAATGAATAAAAATAAAAGAAAATAATATTAATTATTAATTTAAATTTAATTTCATTTTTTACCTACGTGACTTTACCGAAAGAACTAAGAGTATGAAGTTTCTTCAGTTCACGTCAGCCGGCCGCCTCTGTCCACCCGCCAGTTAGCACGGCTGGCTACGTACGGTCCGAAAGAAGTTCAACGTACACGCAGTGTAATAGGGTACCACCACAGTCGATCGGCAGGTCGCATGCGGATGAATAACGTGCGGGTGCTCCCACCTCTTTCTAGACATCTGACCAGTGCGGAAGAGTAGGCCAAGAGGGGGTTGTTCAGAGTTCCCTCTCGTGGAAGCCCTTCCGCCAACATCTGTACAAGCAAGCTAATTGCAGGTCTGCACTTATAATTATAACTGTTGCAAGCGTACGTTTCGAAACGGTGTAACTTAAGAACGCAGTCCAAGCAATCCCCTATCGGTTCAAGCAGCAGATATTTTAATTGCCGGGTTTCTGTAAGCCATTTCCGCCATATCTCTAGTTTCTAGACAGTCGTATAACTGCCGCAGTTAACCCCGGGCATGCCAGGATTGTCGGCCCTGTGTGAGTCATCAAATCATTGAGTCAAGGCCAACGCACTGCGATGGCATTGACAAACACGTGGGCCCTCTCCCCGTGGTGTTTCAGAACTCACTGGAACCTAGATGCACATGAGACTTTCAACCTGCCAGCGATTCATTGTCGGGCGAAACATTTTGCGTGACTACCGGTTGTTTGTCTGAATTCATGAAATGCCACTGAAATGGCCAAAAGGAACAACAAGCAAGCTTATGCTGGCATTCGGCTCGGCAAATGTTTAGGAAGCGTTTTCTAATTCTTTAAGCTTCTTACGCTCCCTTTCAAATTTTTAATTCACGTAATTTTGCGGCGCGCATTATCGGTTTAGCGAATGCTTAGTTACATCCGTGAAAGTGGAAGTTTATTCATTATTTCCCGTTGCAAATTATAGACTAGGGTTTTGTTTTGTTTTTGTTACAAGGGTTGACTTTTTTTAAGATGTGAGCACTTAATGTCAGAAGCAGCCCACCCACAACCACAAACGAGCAAATGAAATGTCTTCAGCATCAAACAAAAGAATTGTTTAAAAAAGAAAACGTACGGCCAATTTGTCAATCCAATGCTGGATTAGCTCTTTCTCATGCCGTGTGGGCGGCGGTGGTTATCAGGCCATACTTCACCGCACTGGTCAGTGCGGGTTGGCGAGGGGGGGGGAAGGGTGCAAAGCAGGAACAGATTTTTCTGCACTGCCCTTGGCTACTCTCGACGCCAACCGCACCTGGGCACGGACATGGAGGTCGCCCTTCCAAGCACAAATCAGGCTCAAGTGATGTCGGTCATGAACATTGTGGGTTTAAGCCACTGTTGGCTTGAAACCACGGGTTAGAATAGATTTGAGATGCTGCACTTATCACGTACAACGTGTGATAAAAAAACTAAAAAGATGCGCCGCTCGAAGGGATGATGATGATGATGGCCCCTCGGTTGAGAGTAATGATCGAGTGGCGGTCAAGGGTGGGAATGAACCCGAAAGTGCGTCCACCACGGAGACGGAGCGCTGAGATGAGCCCGTGTGAAGGTTCTAGTGCTCATTGTTACACCGCGTGACCGCAAGAGATGGCGATGGTTTTGGGGGGGCGGCCTTCTTGAGAATGTTACAATCGATTTCTAGACAAACCTTCAGACTTTGGAACACGCAACCTCCTATTATCCACGCCACCACGGGGAGAACACGCAAACTCCAAATATACAGCAGGCGCCACATTTTGGATGAAACTCACGACCTCCTGCATAACAGGCGAGGTAGTTAACATCTCGCTACAATGGCACCCCAAAGTGATTTGAATTCCGTTACTTCACACAACTGTAAGTTTCCATCGTGTAACGTTTGTAGTCACGTGACACACCGTAATTTCTGCTCAAGGGCCCCTAATGGGCTTCAGTGACTCTATGGCAATAGGCTTGTGTGTGCCTGTGTGCGGAGCGGTATTGCAACAGTTGGCGCGCTGTGCTACGAACCCGGCGACCCGAGTTGGATTCCTGCTCACGGCGAACACCGGTGATGATTATCTGAACCTGTCATGGGCATCCTCTAGGTCGACTCGGCCGGAAATTAGTACCTGGTGCGGTGTGAAAACATCACCACTGGGGAGACAAAGGTGGCCGGGTGTTGTGTTGGCCACCCACCCCCTCGTGTGCCGTGTCAGCCTTCATAGATGCTCGCTTAACAGCCACTTGGCCCAACAGTCTGTTAAGGCTATACGGGGGATCTTTGTCTTTGTGGCTTGCGTGAGCACTGCACATTTGTACGTGCAGACCCCTGCATTAACGGGTCATGAGCGGAGCAAAGCCGGTGACGCTACGGGGAATAGAAAGTGTAAGGAAGCGAAGTGATTCTGTATACACAAGGCATTCCTAGTCCGGGCGTTTTCTCTCGTTTGGGGAGCATTTGCGTCAGATAAACGCCGAAGCGTTGATTTTTCTTCTCCCCCTTTCCTTCCCAGTGGCTCATCTTAAGCTGGAGATGCGGCGAGATGATAAGACGCCTGAAAGTTGTAAAATCCACGAAAGCACATTTTAAAGTGTATCCGTTTGTTCGTTTTTTGGGGGGTTGTGCGTAACGGAACTGCGAATGCACTCAAATGTGCACGATTGCGATGTTTTTTGATCCCACTACCTCCAACAAACCTAGTCCTCCTATATTCATTGCGAAGGCCCGCTGTGGCCCTGGCTGCCCAGACGACCACATGTGCATCAGTTATGTGGTTTTCCCTCTTTTTTTTGTGGGACACATCTGCCACGTGGAAGCGGGAAAACGCTGAGCTCTCAATTTTTCAGAGCTGAAATGTTTGCGTGAATTGTGTGGCATGATTGTGTGTGTTTATTTTATACTAGGATTGACGCAATTTCACATTTGATGAGAATCACGCGATACTAACTTTCAAGATATAACGATTGTTGCGAGATCACTTTCCCTTAGCTTTATAATTTAATTTGGCAATGCCGTTCAATGATATTTGTGCGCTGCTGTACTTTCGTTACGAATGAAGATTACTTAAAAGTTCTGCGGCTGCAGTTCACTCAACTTAAGCCTGCCATGGGCCTTCCAATCACTCTAATTGTGCAGTCACGAATGCTTACAACGCACATGTCATCAGTTAGACATCAAATTATAATACAATTAATTGAACTGAGATGTGGTGCTAGAGAAGGAGGCTACGTATACCATGGACACCCACAATATAAAACATGCCCGTGCTGAGAGAGAAGCTATTTGTGAAGCGGAAATGGACAAAACTTTGGACACGTTGTGAGGACCTCTGGACTAGAGGAATTGGTCTTGCTCGAGAAATTGAGAAGGTCGCGGGGGCAGAGGTCGACATCGGAGGAGGTGGATGGACGACATCAAAAACACCGCTGGCCTTACACTGACCAATCTACGAGAGGCAGCGAGAGAGACGCGCGGTGGGGATGGCGGAGTCCGGTCGTTGACCTGACGGCACAATGTGACAGGGTGACTTGAACTGCGATGCCATCATATGACCACCATGCCATCAATTACTGCGGGAAACTTTTCGTGAAGGACTAATTTAATTGGATAATAACTATTTATTTTAAACTTTATTGAGCGCATTTTCGACTGAATTGTATTGGAGGAAAAAATATTTGAGGCTAAAATTTAATATTTCTGAAAGGTAAAATGCGCTAAAAGGTAATCATTTTATAAAACGCTCGATCTTGGTCGCTGTGCCTCTGATTTCGCACGATCCATCGTGGCATACGCGACGACGCGGCGAACCCACGCGTAGCGACAATTTGCCGACACTCGCATGGGGGAAGTGCCCCCAGCTTCGGAGCGCAGTGGAAGCAGTAGCGCGTCGAAGAGGCGTTTGGGGGCGAATGAGAGGCGCGCACACAAGAGGGCAGTGCGAGTCTGGGCGTCTCCCACGCCGACTCCGCGTGGCTGCAAAACGCGAGCGGTGACGACGCCAAAGAAGGGGGCAGCGAACGGCTGCGCGCTCACGTCGCAGCGGAGTTTATGATGCAGCGCACGCCGCCGGTACGGCACATTAAGTTCGGACAAAGAGGACCGTTGCCGACCTTTCTTGTAAATGCTTATTGGTAGTGATTTTATGATCTCGACTAGAACAGTTTTTTTGTCTTCTTTTTAACCCTCCCACCCCCCCGCCACCGCCCTCCTTCCCTTTCCTGAATTTGTGTTAAAAACAAAAATTCACCCTCATAAAATCGAAGAAATAAAATTCCGGTTTCTTTATTCAACAAAAAATGTAATCGAGCACAAATATTCTTACTGCTGCTCGTACTGCTCCGTAGGTTTTCGCCATTGAGCTATTGAGGCTGTCTGAAGCGTGTTCTTTTTTTGGGGGGGGGGTGGGGATGAAGAGTGTGGGGGGTTTTGTGCCGCTCCGTGTCGCTCAGGCACGATGTCCGCCGTTTCGCTCCACGTGCCGAGGCCTTCTTCGGAGAACTGGACCATCGAGCAAGAGAGAGAGAACGTGAGCTGCCCACTTTCCTGAGTGAGCTCCCAGCAGAGGTCGCAAACGGGTTTTGATTCCTTACCCGTACCCGTATCCGGCCGCACCAGGGTCGAAAACCGGGTATCGGGTAGGGTACGGGTACCCGATTGCGACCTCTGGGATGAAGCCATGTTGCAGGTGCGGGTGGGTTGATTCTAGGAACTTGAATTGTGAGAAGAGACAAGACGTTGGGAAATGAGTGACAAACGGTTACTCACCAGTGACTCACGGTCTACCCGTACCCGGCCGCATCAGGGTCGCAAACGGGTACCCGTACCCAGCCGGGTACGAGTAGCCGGGTATCGGGTAGGGTACAGGTATCGGGTACCCGGTTGCGACCTCTGGCTCCCAGCACGTGGGAGCGGGGAAAACCGTCGAACATTATTGCCAACACCTGGAAACGCATCAGGGGAAAATATAATTTTGTACAACGTGAATGTTTGGGGGAAGTTACATTCGCTATTTCCCGTTCGACGTGGTGAGAGATGAGAGGCCTACATTCCCAGTTGAAACAGTGGTGGCACGGTTAATCTGTCGGATGATTTCAGTGGGTCGTATTTAGTCTTTAACCTATGCCAAAGGAAATTAATCTGTGGAATTGAGTCCAACGTAAGAGGCTACAAGCGGCAAAAGCTCTGCCGCTCTGCGATGTCAATCTGTTAGCAGCGTCTCACGTGGGCTGCTTGTGTTTTGCAGTTGACCCAGAGGCCCTTAAATTTGTCAACCACGCAAGTGATGTGAATTCCCGAGAGAGAGAGTGTTCAATTATGGCATTACATGCGTGAGCCTCAAACAGCATTGGGGAGGATGGGCGATTGAATTGAAATTTTCCGTGGCGCACTTTTTGACACGCAGCATCTAATGCAAGTCATGAAGCATCATTAACGATTGTAATTCTAGTGATGAGTTAAAGTCATTATTTAATTTGCAAAAGGGGTTGGCCGAGGTTTCGTGGATACCCATATTAAGTGTTACCAATCGAGTTAATTAGAAATTGATGGAACGTTGCCAATCGGTCAATTAGTCCTGCTCTGCATTGTGTTGGCGTTGAACGTGGATTAGGCGCACGTGTTTGTAATGTACTTTAAAATTATTACCATCGCAGTGAAGATTATTTAAGCAAACTAATGTGCGTGGTGCTCGCGTGACAAAATACCGTTTCATCGTGTGGTCTTGCAGAGCGTAGAGCATACATTATCGCTACATTCATGCGTTATTTTACGTCTAATGGGCAGTCCATATGCGTTGAAAATGAGATGCGAGAAAAAACGAGTCTGCGTTATGTCAGGTTTGTATTCGTGCCGTGTACTTTTTCTCATACGTGAAATGAAGACGGGGTGTTGCTATGTTTCAATGTAAATTTGAGAACGGTAATATATATTTTAAAAAAATGTTTAATAGCCTCGTAACAAAACATAACCACTTCTGAAACGTGCAACATATCGCGCAAAAAAGATAAAGGTGCAGCCCCGCAATTGCTCGCTCACGCACCACTGCTGGCGGAAGGGAGGGCCTCCACGAGAGGGAGCACTGCCAAGCCCCTGTAGAGCATTCGTTGACCCGTCACTCTTTCACGCCGCTCGTGTCCTTTGAAGGCGTCGGGAGTGCCCACACTTTACCCCATCGTATGTCGTCACTTGCCCATCGACTGACTCTGGCAGTGGTTTTTCGTAATCTCTGGGGTCCACGGATGCCCTGGGAGGGTGTGAGATGCCCTTTCTGGGCCCGCGAGACGTGGCCAGATTTTGTTTTTTTTAAAGGTAAATAATCGAAAGACAAATTAAGCAAGGGCACGTAAGTACAACTACATTTTCTTGGTTCTTTCGGTAAAGTCACGTAGAATGGAAATAATAAAATAATAAAAATAAAACATAATACAATTATTATTATAATTTTATTATGTTAAAATAATAAAAATAAACATAATAATAAAATAAACATGTTTTATTTTTATTATTTTATTATTTCCATTCTACGCGACTTTACCGAAAGAACCAAGAAGATGAATCCCTGCAGTCACGAAAGCTTTAAATCTAAATACAACTACATTGTTTCATCAAACCCCTATGTATTTATTAACATTTAAATTATTTTTAACGATTCAGAAAGAAAGGGGAGCAGGCTGCAGTCAAGGTCAAGAACCACTGAACTATGGTGTTACCTACTTGTACTGCTGGATGAACAGAGACTGTAGGGATTTTAGAAACCTGCAACGTTGTTTCAACTGCCGCGCCCGGAGATCGAACCCGGCTATAACCGTTTCTGCGCGACAGCATCCGCATACTCTCTATCGTGTTATAAACATAGACGTATTACGAGAGTGTTTTACACGCGATCACTTATAATATGCATCCGTTTCAAATCGACTCTCAGCGCGCCTCTGATTAGCACGGTTGGCTATGTATGGTGCGAAAGAAGTTCGACGTACATAGAGAATCAGAAGATGTCTACTGGAGGAATCCGATGAGCTGTAAAGCTCTTTAACAAAATAGATATCAAGTCGTTTCACAGATGTCCAGTAGTCACAGATGCCCGGTAGTAGTGCGCACATGACCGGACTACGCAACTCTGTCCCACAACCCACTCTGTTTTAAGTTTCACACGACACACACACACACAGGCACGTCACAAAAACACTCCGACCTTGTGCGTCTATGAAGAAACAAACAAAACACCATCGATAGTTCCTGTAGAACTGCCTCGTTTGTCCTCTGCATGCCTATTGTTTCTTCACGATGTCTTTGCCCATGAAGGCAAACCCCCCTCCCTTCCACCGGCCCCTAATCGCTGACCACTCCACATTCGCCTGCCGCTCCCTTGCCCCACACCTCCAGCAGCGGCTGAGCCAGAAGGTTGCGCTGGAGAGGAGGCAGCGTGACCTGGGCGAGCGAAAGCTGCGAGACGCCACGCGGGAGCTCGAGGATTGTCGCCTGCAGATGCTCACTCTCGGCAAGCAGTTCAGCAGGTCAGCGTGCACGCGACAGCGACGAACGGCACTTGGCCCGTACGGTCTGTTAATTCGAGATTTGAAGGTTTCGTGACTGCAACGATTCATGTTCTTAGGTTTTTTTCGGTAAAGTCACGTAGGTAAAAAAATAAAAATTGATAAAAGTAAAATAAAAATAAAATAAAAATCACGACGTTTCGGAGGCAACAAAAGCTTCCGTCTTCAGGTGGAACCGTCACAGCACGACTGCTGCATCAAGCATCAAGTACCGTCACAGCATTACTGCTGCATCAAGTACTTGATGCTTGATGCAGCAGTAATGCTGTGACGGTTCCACCTGAAGACGGAAGCTTGTGTTGCCTCCGAAACGTCGTGATTTTTATTTTGTTTTACTTTTATTAATTTAAATTTTAATTTTTTGCTTACGTGACTTTACCGAAAAAACCTAAGAATACGGTCTGTTAAGGCTATGTGTCCAGGGGTGGGGAACCTTTTTTTCTGCCAAGGTCCATTTGGATATGTATAACATCATTCGCGGGCCATACAAAATTACCAACTTAAAATTTGCCCGTTATATTTGGTCAAACATTTTAATTAACTCGCCCCTAATGTGATGGCTGGAACCGCTTCTCTTTGGGCGAGGCGCGTGTGATGTTAGCTGGTATTTTTGATGTTGCAACTCGCAACTGCTTTACCAGGTTTGCTCCTAGATTGATTGAATTTCGAGTTCCGCCTACGGTTGCCTTGGCAGGGCCACACCAAATGATTTCGCTGCCCTTATACGGCCCGCGGGCCGGACGTTGCCCACCCATGCAGGAAATGTAAAGAGAGGGGGGCATCTTTGTTGCGTGCAACGCCTCCGTGGAGCGGTGGCGTAGGGGTTAGCGCGACGCGCCACGAAGCCGCCCACCCGAGTTCCATTCCTGCTCACGGCCAACATCGGTGACGATAGCCTGAAGCGGTCCTGGGCCTGCCCTAGGTCGACTCAGCCTCAAGTGGGGACCTGTTGCGGTGTGTAAACATCGCCGCACGGGAGATAAATGCGGCCGGGCGTGATCCTGGCCGAGGCCAAACCCCTTGTGTGGCTGCGCTGTTCATAGGCGCTCGCTCAGAGCACTTTCCCCGACAGTCTCTGAAAGATGTTCCAGGGATATCTTTGCATGGAGACAGATGGGCCAATGGGGCGTTGGCGGGGGGGGGGCATGCTGGTAACGTACGTATGTTGAACTTTTCACACTTTAGACATAAAGTGCTTTGCCACAAATGAACCACAATACCTCGCTCATCTCGTCAAGGAGCATAAACCACCGTCACGCAAACTCCGCTCATCATCGCAGTAGCAGCAGCGGCTTTCGGCTGCTCACCATCGAACAAAGGCGGCGGTCACCGCATCGCGTGGCGCTTTCAGATGCGCTTCTGCGGCCGTCTGGAACGCTCTTCATTCCGATATTAGGAAGCCACTGGAGCTATGCACTTTTAAATTATTTAGATTGAAAACTCATTTCTTTTTAACTGCTTTTTGTGTTTAGTTCGTTGTCCTTCCCCCACACCTCGGATTAGCAACGGTTCACGACTTTACGGTTCGCAAGAAGCTCAACATTGAGAATAGGGTTTTCCCCTTTTTTCTGGCAACAAAACAGCTGTGTGAAGATGTTAAAACACCAAACTGAAACCTTTTACAAGGAATCATGTCTGCAATAACCACAATGCTTGTGGTCAGAATACAAAAAAAATACTCTGATAATCTAACACCGTTTTGAGACGAGGCTCAAAAGAAAGCTGTCTCTGGTGTAGACCAATCAATTTCAAGGACAATGCATATATTATCAGAGGATGTTTTTTTTTGCATTCTGACCACAAGCATTGTGGTTATTGCAGACATGATTCCTTGTAAAAGGTTTCAGTTTGGTGTTTTAACACTTGTTCGTTGCCAGAAAAAAAGGGGAAAACGCTATTATCATATTTTGCTACTGGCAAAGGAGGTCCCATGATGTAGAACAGGGGCCGGGAACCTTTTTGACTGGGAGAGCCATAAAAGCCAAATATTTCTAAATATATTGCATTGAGAGCCTTATAGTATTTTTAACGTCTAATAAATTAAATATGTCTTACTTTTAATGCGACTTCTGGTGCTGCATGGTTTTGCTGATGGCCTTGTAGTCAGGTTCATACGTGGTGAGGTTGAGCTTCGTGCAGGTGTGACCCGTGAAATTTATCTTCAAAACTAATTTCTGTTTACTTTAAAATGACAGTATTATTAAGCAATATCACAAGTATTTTAAAATCAGTTCCAAACTGATTTTTTTATTATTATTTTTTTCAACTCCAAATTGCCTGGGAGCCATATGCCGTCACCGGAAGAGCCATATATGGCTCGCGAGCCATAGGTTCCCGACCGCTGATGTAGAAGCTCAACATTACACGCTTACTTCTTTTGCACCATGCTAATCGGAGGTGCGTGCGGGGGGGGGGAGAATGACAACAATAGGTAATGGGAGATGAGCCATGGGGAGAGGCAGGGATAGGGCAGCGCATTGTGACCAGAAAGCAAGAACGGACAAGTTGAATTTGAACCTGCCTTACCTCAATCATAGGACAGTCGGCGTATGACATACGTCCATCGTCCGTTTGACCAAAGCAATTATGATACGAGACGTAAATGTGGACGTTTAGCCGAGTTTTATTGAATACATATTTGCAAGGTGATGCTTTCAAACTCAAACAAAACACACAAAACATCTGCAAAAAAGTGCACGGCCGTTTGTGGGGTATGCAGCAACACAAAAGACGTGAGCATACCCTGCAGAAGTGCATTGTGTTCCATTGTGGTCATGTTGCGTTTGTTTTTTTCAATACGCACAAAATGACATTTTTCCGCATTATTTGCATCTCGTCTGAAACTCGTGGTTTTTCAGTCTGCGCCATTATTCTGCACTGATTTGTACCGTATTATTGGTTGATATTTCCACAGATTACGTTTTCTTTACATTGCCTTTTCCCCACGTTATATTACGATTGTATTTTTAGCTTCGTGTGATGATACGGAGCATCCATTCTGAAATTTCACAGAGAAATAAACAACAACGAATCGCCCGTGGAAGGCGATATCACAGAGCTATTTCTGAATTCCCGACACGTGACGTCTTTTCCGAACGAGACGTTGTACTTTGTTACCCACCCTGCTTATAGGAGATGTTAGTCGCATGGCAGTCGAACCAAAATGTTGAATTCTCATAGCTTGGATTTTGGGAAATTAATATAAATATCTAATTTAACGTGATTTTTTTTGTGAAGTCAATACTGTCTGCACTTGAGAACCCAGTTCAAAATCAGAATACAGGGACTCCTTTACTTACGAACGGGTTAGGCCCCACAGGTTTGTTTGTAAGTTGATATTTTCGTACGATTTCAAACGTGCTGTACGGCATATACACTAACACGGGAAATGGCTTTAAAAGTTTAACATCTCCTGCAGATGTAGATGTCACTGGTTCTTCACGTTCTGCAGATGTAGATGCCACTGGTTCTTCACGTTCTGCAGATGTAGATGCCACTGGTTCTTCACGTTCTGCAGATGTAGATGCCACTGGTTCTTCACGTTCTGCAGATGTAGATGCCACTGGTTATTCACGTTCTGCAGATGTAGATGCCACTGGTTCTTCACGTTCTGCAGATGTAGATGCCACTAGTTCTTCACGTTCTGCAGATGTAGATGCCACTGGTTCTTCACGTTCTGCAGATGTAGATGCCACTGGTTCTTCACGTTCTGCAGATGTAGATGCCACTGGTTCTTCACGTTCTGCAGATGTAGATGCCACTGGTTCTTCACATTCTGCAGATGTAGATGCCACTGGTTCTTCACGTTCTGCAGATGTAGATGCCACTGGTTCTTCACATTCTGCAGATGTAGATGCCACTGGTTCTTCACATTCTGCAGATGTAGATGCCACTGGTTCTTCACGTTCTGCAGATGTAGATGCCACCACCGCCATCCATTGCGCGGCGGTTGAACTTACGACTCTCGGTCCAAACAGGCAACTGGACATACGGACCAGGTTTGTACGTATCTCTGAAAGTTCGTAAGTCGAATGTTCGTAAGTAGAGGAGTTTCTGTATGTATTTATACCGGAGGAATCCGTTGAGCGACAAAGCTATTTCGCAGATGTCCAGTTGGGGCATGTCAGTGAGGTTGGCTACGTACGGTGCGAAAGAAGTTCAACATAAGTACGTAGAACGTTACAATAGCTAACAATACCACCATACAATAGGAGTGCAACGTATAGAAATGGCAAATAAATCACTCAAAACATATATACAAATAAACTACATTAGTTTCATCTTCTTGGTTCTTTCGGTAAAGTCACGTAAAAGGTAAATAATAAAATAATAACAAACTAAACATAATAAAATACAATTCTCACGACGTTTCGGCCACAACGCAAGCAGCCGTCCTCAGGTGAAGAACAGGTCTGTCGGGAGATGAATCCCTGCAGTCACGAAAGCTTTAAATCGAAAGATACATTAGTTTTTTTTTACCAGGCCAAGCCCACTAAGATACTAGCTTATTTTTCAGAAGCGACCTGACCATCACGAATGATATAGCTCGACGAAGCGGCTTGTCGTCATCACGTGGAAAAGTTTAACAGCGGCCAAATAATCTAAACGCACGTTTCGATTTAAAGCTTTCGTGACTGCAGGGATTCATCTTCTTGGTTCTTTCGGTAAAGTCACGTAGAAGGGAAATAATAAAGTAATAAAAATAAAACATAATAATAAGACAGCGTCTGACGCTGTCTTTCCGACAGACCTGGTCTTCACCTGAGGACGGCTGTTTGCGTTGTGGCCGAAACGTCGTGAGAATTATTTTATCATGTTTTATTTTTATTATTTTATTACTTCCCTTCTACGTGACTTTACCGAAAGAACCAAGAAGATAAACGCACGTTTCCAAACCACTGGAGGTGGTTGAAACCTCTACCGCAATCCGCGATCTCATCGGGAGTCAGCTCAGTCCTCCG